TGGCGGACGCGATTTCGAACGGACGGACGGACCGCCGCCGCCGAATGTGAGGGCGCCCGAATAAGTACCGTTGTTCGCGCCCGAATCTCCGGCACCCGTTTACGATACTACCGGGTCGTTTGACGTAATAATATTATTACGGTTTGTTATATTCGGTGCGCCGTAATGACGTCGTCGTGACGCGCTCGGTATGGTCCCGATAGACCGTAATGCAGCAATAAAAAAAAAAACAAAAAAAAAAAACGGTAATAGCCGATATTATTATTATTATTATTATTATTATAGTTTTCCGAACGGATCGGATTTAAAAACATAATAACCGAAGCAATTCGCCTGGGCGGCGGCGAACGATTTGGCCGCCGGCCAAAATGACATAAGGCCAAGAGTTTTCGTTTAATGGAAGTTCTCGTTCGTCGACGACGGCGGCGGTCCTCGAAATCCGACGGCCAAAAGTATTTCGTATAGACATACACATACCGGCGGTATTTATATACGTACGGCGCGAACGAACATTACTATTATTACGTCCGCCAAAAAAACGTAGAGGTACCACCTACCTATGCCCGTTACAATGGCATCTAACGGATTAAAACGGTACAACAATAATATTGTCCCGCGGATCATTATCGAATTCCGGCAGCGTGTTTTCGGCGACGCGGCAGCGGCCGGTTGAATTCGACGGGGGAAATATCTGCGGTACGGACCCGCCAGTTATATTATTGCGGTATAATGTTAATTCACTTAATTAACATATTATGCGTACAGGGTATTTCGCCCGCGGCCGTTTCTCAAGGTTCCTAACGGCAGCCACGGCAGTATAGTGTTGTGAATATTTTAAATAGTTTCGAAAAGTATTTCGTTCATTGGAAACAAAAAAAAAAAAAAAAAAATCTTTTTTCGTTGTTAAGTGTTGCTATAGGTTTCGCGTTTTATTTTTTCAATTGGTTTTTTTTTTTTGCTATTGGTATAACTGCTCGGACTCGTTCATACATAACTCTAAAAATCGCGGAACTTCCATTTGGTGATACTTGATTGGAGTTATTCTTCGAAATGCTCAACAGTTCAACCTCTTTGGCGTTTGTCTTTCATTTTTGATATTTTTTTTCTCGGAAAGCATTTTTTTTTTCAGTAATTTTTCGCCTATTACAGTGGCACACCCATCAGCAGATCAGCTCTTTTTTTTTTATACATAAATTTCGTTCCTGATAAATTCCTAATATTTTTCGTAACGTATTTGTAATATAAAAAAAAAAAAAAAAATTTATTTTATAAAGTATTCGGAATACTTATGCTTGGTGTTTTGAATATGTTTAAAACGTATTTTACTCAAATCTAATTCCTAAACAGTTTTCTTACATGATACCGGTTTTTGTATTAATAATACATAACAGTTTTATATTTTAATATTTTAGGCCAGCGTTTCCCAGCCTTAGAGTAATTATCCCTCAAGGGGTAATGTATTTTATACCTGTTATTTTTGATACCGCATCAATCAAGTGTACTACAATTGTAGTACTTTTTTTTTAGAAACTTTTTTTCTAAGAGGGAGGGTATTTGTTAATATCTGTTCTGGTTTATGGGAAATAGTCTCAGAAAGATTGGGAATCTTTGTTTTAGACCATAGTGACAAAATTAAATTCCACAATATTGACAAAACCGATAACCAAAACTCAAAACATGTGGAATTTGCATATTTTTTTGTGTGATCTTAGGAGCATTTATGTGAGTTATAAATTTGTTTCAGGAAATCACGGACCTATATACACAAGTTTATTACAGTTGCATATTTCGAAGTCTAAATTACTAGGTATTTTGGGTTATTGTATGTTTGACGTTATTTCAATACCGTTTTCTCCCAAACATATCAATAACAATTTAAACAGTCTTGAATATCATCATACAGTCGAATTCGCGTATAACGATATTCCGGGTAAAAAGATTTCAATCAATGTATTTGGTTGGTTTTATATGTTATGTATAATACTTTTGTTCGTATATAACGATGTCGGTTATAACGATAATCCGGATATAGCGATGTTGTTTTAAAACGAAAATTGGTTTTTATAATCACCCATAGCGATTAATAATATGCATGCACATTGTACATTGTGTAGTAAATTTGATTTCGTCCAAATCGATAATTCTTAATCTCATCTGTAACAGATAATGTGTCTTGCACGACCGTATTGTATACAGAATACCTACGTTTCTTAGTCGTTTAGTTGCCGTTTTGACAAAAATATGTTTAATAAATCAATTTTTCAAAAAAATCATGTTACTTTTTATGGTCCGGATATAACGAAGTTCGGTTATAACGATCAGATTCCCTAGGTCCCTAGAATATCGTTATTAGCGAATTTGACTGTATTTGTTTTTTTTTTTTTCCATTAGCAGCGGCCAATGCAAGATGGTCAACATATCGATATGGATACTCCTATATGATTTATTGTATTACGCGAATTAACATTTTAATTCTGTAGTTTCTAATTTTTCCGGTGTCGTTATTATTATTATTATTTTTTTGCATATTATTCGCATCGAGCGAAAGTATAATAAAAATATCGAAACAAGAGTGAACGATTAGGGTGCAATTAAGACAAGAATTGTTTGTATTGAATATATATGTGTGAGGATTATATTAAAAAAACGGTGCTCGAAACGCAATTAACGAATGAAAACGGCGTGCCATTCGTCGGCGGCGTTTTAACAGTTATTAAACGTTACACCGGGCGCGCGCGATGTCACGAAATAATATTATAAACCCGAACTGCACGGCGGAGAGACAAAATGATATCTTCATTATCGAATACCGGCGGAACTTATTCGTTCGATGCGCATTGAGACTAAATTCCGAGCGCATGACGAACGACTTGTTCCGTTTTATTTATATTTTATCGTATACACGTAGAACGAGAATGGTCACGAGGTGTTCTGAACAATTCGTTTTTTAAACACTTGTTTGAAAATGTTTAAAACAAGCCCGTTCATTTGAAACGTAAGAAATGTTTAAAACTTTCCGACAATAAATATAAACAGTTCCTATTTTAATATAAAAATGGTAAATTATTTTATGCGTGACAATTTCGCTATTGTCTGATTCTGTCCTTTTACTTAAATTAACTTTTAACTTTTTTAATTAACTTTTTTTTTTTCAATTTGCTATTCTGTTTTTTAAATAACTATAATGAAATCACGACTACAATTAACTACTAGTATCACAACAAAATATTTATTGAAAATAATGTTTAAAATAAATATAAAAATGTTTTTTTTTTTTTTTTTTTTTTTTTATATTGTTTTACGACGTATATA